TAAAATCAAATCCATTTCACAGTATCTTTACTTTTTCTTCTATTATCAGGGTCTACGTCTGGGATGCACTAAAAGTGTTAGTAAATTTTTGGGTGCCTCTTAAAACCTTATTCTGATAATCCTGATTGGGCTCATAGCCAGGATTTTTTAATTCAGGGGGCCTTTCCTTAAATTGGGGGGGCACTGAAATAAAAATGAAGCTTGGAAGAAATGGCAACCGCCGCCAGCTCGTGACCCCCAGCCCCTATCCCTGACACGACCTGGAAGCTGAGTGCCACAGAGCTAGCTTCCACTGGCACTCTGGCTGGGCATCCAGGTGCAGGAAAAAGGGGAAGAGGAGGAAGAGGTGCCCCAGCCCAGCTCCGCTGGCCTCTGAATGCTGCCAAAAGTTCCCACTGGCCCCACCTCACCTGCCAGCCCACCTGCCTGCCTTGCATCGCTGCCAGCTTGGGACCCCCAGCCCCTTTCTCTGATGCACCCTGGAACTAAGTCAAGCGCCATGGAGCTGGCCTCTGCCAATGCTCTGGCTGGACACCCAGACACAGAAGGGGGAGGCAGAAGAGGCACCCCCACCCAGCCCCACTGGCCTTTGAGCACCACCCAAAGTTCCCGCCGGCCCCATTTTGCCTGCTGACCCACCCACCTGGCTGTCTTGTGCCGCCACCACCAGCTTCCCCCTGATGCGCCCTGGAACTAAGTCAAGCACCATGGAGCTGGCCTCTGCTAATGCTCCAGCTGAGCACCCAGGTGCAGGAGGAGGAGGCAGAAGAGGAGGAGAAAGAGGTGCCCTGGCCCAGCTCCGCTGGCCTCTGAGCACTGTTGAAGATTCCCGCCAGCGGCAGCCCCACCTCAACTGCAGGCTCACCTGCCTGGCTTTCTCGCACTGCTTCTTCACCTGGGAACCCCATGCCACCACCCCCAGCCTGGGATCCCCAGGCCCTTCCCCCCAACTGCCAGCCCAGGATGGAGCCAGCAGAGCTGCTGGCAGGCGGGGAAGGGAAGGGGCAGTGGCGGCAGCACAGGGAGTCCTCCGGGTGGCTCAGAGAGTTGGGGGGGGGGCTGGCCTAGATAGGAAGTTGGAAGCCTTGGTAGGAAGTGGGGGGCTGGGCCCTGGGAGGCCCCACCATAGCTACGAGCCTGATCCTGACATAAATCTAGACTCTGGAATTTTATCAAAGCCTTTCTGACATGCTTTTCCTTTCTTGCAAATAGTGTGTGTTTTTAAGCCACCCACCTTACCTCTAAATTTGGGCTTACAGAGGGCAACCAGTATAGCCTTTTCAGCACTGGTGAGATGTGTTTCCTATCATCAATGTCAACTACCTTGCTGCTGTCTTTTGAATTGCTTGAAGTTTCCCTGATGCTGTTTGCCTGATGTCCCCTCTTTTGAGCTTTAGGCACCTGGTGAAAACAGTTTTCCTAAGTACAAAGGGACCACGGTGGAAATAATCAACAGACTATGAGTGACATACTATGAAAACTTAATTCTTAACAAATATTAAATATATTATTATAACTACCATATATTAGAAATTATATAAACCACAAGGTTTTTAACATTAAAAACTATGGCACCTTCTAGTCTTAATCAAAGTTTAGATTTGACAGCTTTTCTCCATTAGTGGTTCCTTTAATGGGGGTATGATTGTATTAATTTACTGTTACTTTGATTGTAGTGGAGGTATGCAACAGCTGTATACAATTTAATAATTTTTCTATGTAAAATGGTGAGTACTACTGTAGATCCTTGTGACACCATAGAGTTTTTGGAAGGCTACAGCCACTATGAGAGAGGTAGCCAACATATTCTCATAGGACTCAAAAGGTTGGTGAGGCAGGACTTCCCTTTGCAGAAGCCATGCTGATTTTCCCTCAGCAGGGTTTGTTCCTCTGTGTGCCTAACAATTCTATCTTTGATTACAGTTTCTACTAATTTGCTGTTAGGCTGTTGATGTTAGGCTGACTGGCCTGTAATTTCCTGGTTCCCCTCTGGATCCCTTTTTAAAAACTGGTGTAACATTTCCTTCTCTCCAGTCTTCTGGTGGTACAATGGCCATTAGGACCTGGAGACTTACTGGTTTTTAATTTCCCCAGTAGGTCTAGAATTTCATTTCAGGTCACCTCAATTTAGCCCAATTCCTTAGATTTCCTTCCATGAGGTAGCCCTGAGGTGGCTTACCTCATTTCTCCAAGGTCAGGGACAGAGGGTGGCACTGGGGGAGAGGACATCAGCTATGTATCCCTTATTATGTGGGGTTCATCAGGGGGCAATCCTCTCTACAGTGTTGTTTAACATCTACATACACCCCCTCATCCAACTGGTGTAGAGTTTCGGGATGGGGCATCACCAGTATGTTGATGATACCCAGCTTTACGTGTTGATGAGTGGGCAGCCAGACATTGCCTCAGCAAATTTGTCTGAAGGGTTGGAGGCTGTGGTGGGATGGTTGAAACAGCCGGCTGAGACTGAATCCTGCTAAGATGGAGGTTCTGAGGCTGGTAGGGGGTATTCAGGTTTGGGGTGCGAACTCCCAGCCCTTGAAGTTGTGCCCTTAAGACTGGCACTAACTGTCAAGAGTTTAGGTGTGATTCTCCAATCAAAAGCTGTAGATCCCATCAAAATTTCAATGAAGAAAGTGGAAACAAATATGGAACAAATAACAGAAAAATTCGTGAGCAGTCTACAAGCAATACAAACACTAGTTTCAGAAAATACAAAACAAATTGTGGAATTGAAGAAGAAAACAGAAAAGATGGACTTTAAGATGAAAAAGATTGAAGATGAAACAAGAAGACTTGACTTGAAGCAAGAAGAATATGAACAAGAGCTGACTAGACTTCAAGTCGACAAAGCAGCGTATGTACTGAGATTCCAGAATATTCCTGAGGAAAAAGATGAAGACATCGTCGGAAAAATGGCTACGATTTTAGCAGATTACATGCACGTGGAAGATGAAGAGATGCTAAATGAATTTGATCAAGTATTCAGGATGAATTCAGCATACGCGAGACAAATGAAAGTTCCAAGGGAAGTACAAATCCTGTTTGGCAAAAGAATTATTAGAGATAAAATTTTGAAAGAAGTAAATGCAACACCAATGACGATGGATGGGAATGAAATAAAAGTCTGGAAGGAAACCCCATGGAGGGTAAGAGAAAAAAGAACAGAATATACCAAACTGACAACACTCCTGAGGAAAAACGATGTACAATATCGCTGGCTCCTTCCAGAGGGTGTCACTTTTATTTTTCAGATGAAAAGGTATCGGAGAACATCATTATTCAAGGCAGAAGATTTTTTTGCTACCTTTGGAAAAGAGATGGGCGTGGAGGAAGATAAAGATGGTGAAGAAGAAGAACAGAGACCCCAAGAAGAAGAAGCTATAGGAGGGACAAAACCCCGGGAACAGAGACCCAAAGGCAACCAGAGAAGATCACCTGTTGGAACCCGGAAATAAGAGAAAAAATGCAACAACGGAATGGAAAAAATGATGGATAGAGGAAAGATAAAAATGTTATTGGTAAATGTCAATGGCTTGAATGGACCACAAAAAAGAAGAAGGATATTACATCAATTGGCGAAACAGCAACTGGATTTAATTTGTTTGCAAGAGACACACATATGTAGAAAAGATGAAAAATATCTCCAAAATAAAAAAAATTAGGAAAAACTTTTGTGGTTTGTGGCAAGGAGAAAAAGAAAAGAGGAGTGGCTACTTATGTTAAAGATAACTTGTTTCCTGAATTGACATATGCATCTGAAGATGGCAAAATTTTAATGGTGGAAATACAAAATGAAGGGAAAATTTTTTTGGTAGTAAACATATATGCTCCAAACCACGACCAGGAAGAATTCTACAAGAAACTTCACAATCTTCTTACTCAACCGGACTCTCAAAATATCTGTCTTCTAGGCGATTTCAACTCTGTATGGGATAAAGATAAAGATAGAAAGTCGACTGTAAAGAAAAGGAAAACAGGGATGGAAACTCCAAAGACTCTAGTTCATCTGGTAGAAGAACTAAACTTGGTGGATGCTTGGAGAGTAAGAAACTTTTCATCAAAACAATTCACCTATTATTCCGCAAGACATGATTCCTGGTCAAGAATTGATATGGTATCGATCTCTACAGTTTTGATAAAAGACTTGATATAAGCAGAAATTCAAGCTGGAATTTTTGCAGATCACAAACCGGTATATATGGAACTACAAACGATTAATAAAAAGAGTAGATGGACACTGAATTTGTCAATTCTGAGAAATGAAGAATTTGTTAAGAAACTGAAGACAGAGTTGGAATTTTTCTTTAAAGAGAATAGAAGACCAGAAACATCAATAACGGTTGTATGGGACGCAATGAAGGCGTTTATTTGAGGAACTATGATACAAGAGACATCAAGAATAAATAAACGAAGGAAACAAAAATATGAAAATTTGCGAAAACAAATACAAAACCAGGAAAATATAATGAGAGTGCAGAAAAAAGACTTAAACTATTACACCATCAAATGAGCTGTCTATTAAAAGAAGAACTAGCCAAAAAACTATTTTTTGCAAAACATAACTTTTTTGAAAATGCTAATAAACGTACCAGATGGCTGGCAATAAAACTTAGACAACAGAAAGAGAGAACATATATTAAAACATTAAGAAAAGATGATAAAGAGATAAATAGAATGGTGGATATTCAGAAAGCAATAGAAAACTTTTACAGAGTCTTAGACGAAAACCGAGCGTGAACATAGAACACATAAAAGATTATTTGAGGATACATCCATTGGAAAAATTCACTGAGGATCAAAAAGAAATATTAAACCAACCAATATCTAAGACGGAAGTTATTGA